GAATATATACCTAAAATAATACGATCACACTTTCTTCAGTCAAATATTACTTAGAATAATGAGAGCATCAATTATTTGAGAATTGGCGAATTAATTATCTTTGGAAGAGAAAAGACTTTTAAATGATATTTTGCTTGAACTATTAAGTAATTTAGATGGTGATACTGTATTCCAATTCTCTCAATTTCAATTCTCGCTCTTCTTCCTCCTGAGAATAAAGATGTTGATGTTATTTACTATCAAATGAGAAATATACAGGAAATATTTCTGTATTCATAAAACATCACAGAAATCCTTCATAAAGGCTCATTTACATAATCAGTTTATCATCAGTCAAATGAATTAGATTCTGTTCAGAAAAAAAAAAAAGCACATATATCCAATTTCAATATAAATGTGGACAGTATCAGTTTGTTTCGAAAAAATGACCGAAAGACTGAGTAGAATTCTGATCATTAGCTTCCATCCTTCTCCATTAATTAGTGAATAAATTGGCAGGGTAAGGATGAAGCTGTATTTAACTATTTCATTGATATTATATAACCTATTAATTTACTACTTGCATTACTTTAACATTGACCGAGAAGTAAACCTTAGCAAATCCCACTGTCTTCAACATTTTTAACATTGTTGTATCTTCGAAGAATGGTAGTACAGTTCATTGTTCATCCAGAAATGCCGATTTTTAATTTTATCCAGTACAGAAAAGCTTGAAAAATCTATGTTAAGGATACGGTAATACATCAATAAACAGTCATGCAATCTTTTTTTTTGTTCGAATTTATGAATCTCAATCAAAGCGAGGAAATTTTTAAATTGATATTCAACGATACTAGGGATGTATATCTTTTTGTCCTCCAAATCTTTTTCGTTTTAAGTTCAATTTTTTGTCCTCAAAAAAAAAAAAAAGATAATCCATCAATTTCCTTTTCTTTGGGAATACTTAACAGATCGTTGTAAAGTGAAGTATGAGGATTAGTAAAAAAAGGAAAAAAGAGCGAAAATTAGTAAAAAATAAATGAAATATAAAAATTGGTAATTAGTAAAACTAGTAAAAGAAATGAAATAAAATTAACAGACAGAATTTTTATTTTCCTCTTCGAACTATCGAAAACCTTTTTCAGTTGAAACCTCTTTGAACTACCTAAAATCTCTTTTCAGTCTTTTTTTTTACAAATAATAAAAACAAATGTCCATTCATTATGCAGAATGCTTCATTTATTAGCTTAGGTTTTGGTTTATGTGATAAGTGAAATATTACTTCTTTACTGCTTATCATATCAATCATTATCATTGGAAGACATGACTCACTGGTTGTTTAATTATGACACTTACTTGTATGAGTCATCCTGTCATCTTATTATTCATGACATATTCTGTCTTTTACTACCTTCAATATTTTTTTGTTTTGCTGACTGATAAGACTGCAGCCTTATTAATAGAGAATTCCTGTATTATCTCAATAGCATAATTCTGTATTATTGAAGAAAGATGAAAGGAAATTTCAAAAGAAACTTCCAGAAAGAGTTTGCTCATTTTGTTAATTCGAACTCGAACTTATCACAATTATCATTTATGACAATCAAAAGATATAATTTTTAAACTTGCCTCTATGAAGATTCATTTTAAATTTCAGGAAAGTTTTTTTTTCCCCACTGTGTGTGTTATCTTTGCCGATATATTCCTACGACTTTTTCAACTTTTTCGTTTTTTTTCAAATTTCAATCAAAAAACTATTTTAAAACGAATGTAACTAAAACATACATAAGGTTGTATTAACACTTGTCCTTTAATCCACGAACAGTCATCGGTGTGAAGCTAAAAATGAATGAAAAAAACTGCTCCGTTTCTAAGACAGAAAAAGAGAGGGAGAGAGAGAAAGAGAGAGATAAAAAAATTCCACAAAAATGTTTTTTTTCAAAGACTTTTTTTCATTCTTTTTCTTCCTTTCCCTCTTTTTCTTTTCCTATTTATGGAAAAAAAAAATTCCAAGACAGAAGCAACGAAAAGAAGAAGACTTTCTTTCTTTTGCATGAATAAAAAGGAAAAGAATGAGACAAAAATAATCATTGTACACAGATAAGAGAAGATAAGACATTGAAACATTTCCTGAAAATAATACGCCTTTTCTCGTTCCTGAAAGGAAGAGAGAGGAAAATTGTGTCAGAAAAGATTGAAAAAAAAAAAGAATGTATAAATAGTAAGTACCATTAACCATTGTTAGAGTTATCAATGTAGCAGTTATCATTTTCTTTCCTAAAACAATAATTCAATTAGCTGGAAGCATTTCTCAAACCTTTTACGGTTCTATTATGAAAAAAATATATATCTCACTTCTAAAGGGTAAATATTGCTTGTTTTTTTTCACCTTTTGCTTCATTTTCAAAGTATATAACAATTTAAATGGATATTAATGCATTCGTATACTTATTTGTCAACTCCTCATATTTAATTTTCCATTAAATTACTAGAAAATTGAAAATAATAACTTGCAATAATTAAATTATTGCTTAAACTAAAAGATCGGAGAATAGTAGTCGAGAACTTTATTAGGCTTTTGTAAGATTTTTTTTTTTGTCCCACAATTATTATGGTTTTAAGTGTATGTTATGATTATTCTCCTACAATGAAGCATTAATTAGCTTTGCATTAATTAAAGGATTAATATTATGAAAGACAAAATAAATCATTTCAGTTTTGAGAATTTTTCAATTTTCAGTTTAGAATCTTTCAAAGCAATTTTTCCATTTTAAATTATAGCTTTTTTAATTACAATAAAATCAATGTGGAAAGTATCCCGCGGGATAGATATGGTCATTCCCTTATTTTAGTGTTCCGGAATTGTATATCGAATATAACCGATCCTCTTAATCTTGTAGAAAGTCAAATTTTCTTTAATTTTCCGCCCAATTCTTGATTAAGTAAATGTATGAATCAATGATAAAATGTCTATAAATGCAGGGAATCTCGGTAATTTGGAAGAAATCCTTGATTTTCTGTCATATAATATTCAAAAAGAAAAAAAAGTAAATAACTAAATAAAAATTACTCGTCAAAATATATGGAACTTTAGTAATGGTAAAAATTGTGTTATCTTTAAAATTTATCTAGTAATTCATGCAATATTGAATGCTTGTTACTAGTAGCTATGCAGTTTGTGCTGTTTGTTGAAAATATACCCCGCGATATCTCGATATTATCCAATGACTACTGCAATATTGAGTGCTTGATACTAGTAGATATGCAGTTTGTGCTGTTTGTTGAAAATATATCCCGCGATATCTCGATATTATCCAATGACTACTATTTCACACATTGTAAGACAATATTCAGTTCAGATTTTTGCTCTAAAATCTGTCCAAAAAAAGAAAAAAAAAATCTAACCTTTTGCTTTTTCAATCTTTCCTTATTACCATATTTTTTTACTTATTCTCTTGGTTCTAAAAAAAAAAAAGAAGGGAAAAATTCGGTAAACCAATAACTTTATTACATTTTAAATCTCAACTTCCTTCAGGTTATTTGAAATATTTTCTTTCTTAAATGAAATTTCAAATCTCATGCTGTCTTTTGTCTATCAAAAGGCGGTAGAAATTTTACCAAAAACAAATTTCCAAATTGGCCAATCACAATGAAATATACATATATGTTGATTTTGGCCTAAAATATAAAAAGAAAATAAAATCCTGGGCCCGGATATTTACTAATAATACATATAATTTTTAAATTTCAAAATATTCAAATAAATGATAAATTATTTTGGCTAAAATACTTTTTTATTTAAATCTTTCCTAATTGTTATGCATAAACTAAAACTAAAAAAAGCCAATTCGTTTGTAACTAATCATTTTAGGCTGATATTGGTATCATTTGAATTGCACATTTTTTTTTTTTTTTTTTGAATTATTTTTAAGTAAAAGTGATTGCTAAAAGAAAATTTATTTTATTTTCCTTTTAAATAAGCAACTCGTTTTTTTTCTCTCTCTCTCTCTTTCTCTCTTAAAAATAGAGGAAAAAGAAAATAAAATTTAAGCATCAAATATGCAAAAGAATAATGCCCAATAAATGATTTCGGCGATATACAAATGAAAATGGCACTTTGCGCTTTCTTTCTTTTCTTTTTTGCGCTCAATCCTATTTTCTTTTAACATTTACCCAATAATCATTGTATCATATAATCATTATCATTTATCTATTTGAAACTAAATCCCTGCTGCTATTTGACCCAATAATTTCTTCTCTTTAAATATGAATTTTACATATTATTCAATTTTATCTATTTGTTTTTAATATTTTAGTTATTATTCCGAATGCTAAAAATAAGAAATTCTTGTAAAATTTCGGTAGAATTTTATCGAATTAGTAAGCAAAATGATAAGAAATAAATTTTTGGCGACATTAACAGCTAACATTTCATCTTCAATTCCATCGTTAGTTTTCGGAAATTTCAGACGAATCCTAAACGAATCATGAAAGATTCAGTAATTACAGAAATTTAAAAATTATCCATCCTGTGCAGCACTAATGCTGCATTCATTATCTTGTAATACCGGAAGTAGTGCTGTCATACAGGATGGAATAAATAATTATATGCGTTTGGAAGAATATACTGTCACCATTTATCACTGCTATACAACTACTACAATTGCCCAATTCATTTCCACCCTTATACCATTAGTTGATAAATTTCACATTGGACAAAATTAAACTTTAACGCTTATAGCTTTGGCTTTGCACTACTTCCGAATATACGGTAAGTTTAAATGTTTTTCATTAAATTTCATTTCTTGTTGCATAAAATCTTCAGGATTTTATTAACTTTTTTTTAAATTTCAAACTGATTTAAATAAAATTACTTCATTCAAAGATTTGATATAATTGTTGCTTAGTAATATACTTTTCAATTAAATTATTAATTTCAGCTTTATCACATGCGACAACAATCACGACGATCCGATATTATTATTCCCATTGAATAAGATTATCAATGTACTGATATGCTAATGATCATATCTATGCTTTCTCCTCTAATTGCTTTATTTTTTCACTTAATTTCAGCAGAATTAGTTGTCAATTTCAATGTCACATATGAGGTAAGTGAAATGGCAGAATTCAATTTAGTTTATGAAAAATTGGAATGATACATTTTATCAGTTTGTGTGCGGCCATGCATAAAATGGAAATTTCCGCCAAATTAATAGCGCTCTAAATACTAGGTATTAACAGAAAAATATAATTTATAACAACTAACATTTATGAGTGAAAAAAAATAGAATAAAATATTAGTCTGATATAGGTTAAAATTAAAGTAAAATTATCCAAGTCAGTTTGGAATTTTTTTCTGTTGCAATCTCTTTTGACCAGTGGTTAAGACTGAAACATCCTGATGAATGATAATCTAATTGGGGTTATCCGAACAAGACAGTCTGGGATTTTTTTGTTGTAATCTCTTTTGACCAGTGGTAAGATTGAAACATCCTCCTGAATGACTTTTCTTCATTAAATTTATAATAACTGATGACTTTTTGTGCCATTTTCAGTCAGATGTTACGGATCAGCATGAAATTCAGGAAAGAATATCACGACGATCACGTCGTGAGCCAGCCATATGGGGTGATCCGGCACCGGATTATAGTGCTGTTCAACTGAATGGTTATATACACTTCCTGAATGCCCTCATTTTCGTTGATTCGAAAATTGTATGTCTTTTTGAGACTTTTTCCAGCACTTTTCATGTCTTAATTTTAGATAACACAATTTGTCACCAAAAATTTTTCTCGTAACTACCCATCTTATTGTCTTTCCTTAGATTGATTGTAAGTTTAAGTAAATTCTTCACAGATGACTAATTACAGACTAATCATTATCGCTCCAATATGGAAAAAATCAAGAGAGATGTGATGAAATTAATTCAAGAAGCTAATAATGTAAGTTTTCTTTTTGAACTTTTACAACCCTCAATGATGGTCTATTGTCGCCAATGCTATTGTCGTCAAATTCTTTTTTTTTTGCAATTTATATTTTTGGTTACAGTATTTTTATCAAATAAATATTCGGATAATTGTGGTGGATATATTGCAAACATTACGTAATGACCTCAGTTTGTATACTTTTGAGGAATACAGAAATCGAAGGTAAAACATTCATATCTCTTTGTTATAACTCTTAGAATCTCTTCAAATGACATATTAATTTCTAATAAAAGTGTGATAGCAAAGCTTAAAACTTACCTGAAAGCATATCAGAGTAGAACTTTTAATGAAACTGTAAGGAGATATATTCTATTGTTTAGAATCTGTCGTTGATCTAATTTTTTCAATCTTAATCTAGAGCTATGAAACGTCTCATCTCAAATTTTGTGTTGCTTCCGGGAATTGCGGGTGGTGCTATCTCATTTAGCAAAATATTTTCAAATGATATCATATCACCAAATAAGGGATAAATTATGTCACCTCAATTTCACTATCATTTAGGAAAAATATTCTAAAAGAAATAATTAGTTAATTTGACTTATTGCAAAATTTTCTTTTCTATACACTTAAATATTCCAATTTCTTCCATCTTTGCTTTTTGGAGGAAAAGAAAAGGAATGCAATCAAATTTAAAATTACAAATTAAGGGATTAATTAGAAAGTAAGTCATAAATTGGCAATTAACATTAAATTACATAATTTTTCAATTTTAATTTTTAACTTTAAATTATATTGTTAACATAATTTTACTACATACCTTTTTTCACAGGATATCAAAATTACCCGTTCATGATTTTGCTGCCCTAATTTCATATCGTTATGCTGGTGGATTAGCATTTGTTAATGGTATGTGTACTTCAAAAACTGTTATGTTATGCGGGGTATGTTTACATTTTGTCATTTTAATTTGAATTTTTATTGAAAATTTTTAATCAGAATTTTATTAAACTTTCTAATTTTTTCATTAACTTTGAATTATCTCATTTATGTGATAATTAAAAAAGCAAATGCAAAAGTTAGTTTAAACTTTTCTAAGCTAAAAAATAGAAAAAAAGATGAGAATGTTAATTTTCAGTTCTATCCACATAATCCATCTGCAATGGGTGGTATATTTTTCCACGAAGTTGCACATCTTCTTGGCGTACCACATCGTAATTCAACTAATCTTATTGATGTACCGAATTGTTCCTGTCCAATAACTGGAAGTACTACTATTTCTGGATGCCTTAAAATACCGTATGTTTAAAGTTGCAGAAATTTTTAGCAAATTTTCCAATAATTTCATTTAATTTTAAATACGATCAAATATTTAACTATCTATTTAAGTGTTATCAAATTTTGGGTTTATTTCAGAATTGTCTTTGCTTTCCTGATAACTTAAAGTAGTTTATGTTAAAGTTATTTATACAGAGGTTATGATCATGATTGCACGTTACAACAAATGGTGAATATGTTGGAGAAAAATCGTTGTTTGCGGCATGTTAAGACTATTAGTTTCTTCTCTACGCAACATAAGGTTGAAAAATCATTGCCGCTTTGCGGTAATGGTGTTATCGAAGGTAAGGAGGAATGCGATTGCGGTTTACGCAAGTTATGCCGCAATTGGAATTGTCGTGCTGATGAATGCTTACAGATTGTAAAAACTTGGCAAATGGTAAGTTGACATTGATCTATGTGAAAAAGAAGTAGATGCTCTTACTTGACATCAAATCTAAGTCTAAAAATAAGTTTACTGGAAGAAAGACTGAAATAGCCAATTGATAATGATTTGCCATTTAATGAGATAATTGGGTCATCTGGTTTTGTTTCATGCTAAATTAATATGACCTCTAGATTATATTAGGTCAAACTTCATTTCTACTTCTCATATTTGATTCTATTCGAATATAACAAATCGTATCGTATTATGTCTTCTAGCCATATTACTTTCCATCATTCGAAGACAATTCGAAAATATAACAATATCTAATTTTTATGGACGCTATTAGTTAATGTCATCTCCAGATCATATTTTTATTAATTAAATCCTATGAGTTGAATGTATAAAATTTTGAAAGTAATCTTTGAAAAGTATTAATTTTAGTACATCTGTGGTTGGATAGCTACTGTACTTATTGTCACAGTAATCATTATCTACGTTATCCGACGATATTTCTGCTTATGTTGCGATACATTAACAAACTATAGCTGTGGTATTATTGTCCAAGCAATCTTCTAAAACTTCTTTCAAACCTTAAATCAATAATCCGTCCAAAAAATAGGCATTTTTGGCATCAACCTGATAGTAATTACGCGAAATCATTACGTCGTACTGGTAATGGTATTATCGTAGCTAAGCACCATTTCATTGGAATACCTCATAAGGTAAATATATTAATGCATATGAGGTCGTATTTATATCCGAATTTCATCTAATAGAAATTCATTTAAGAAGTAAAATATCACTTTAATTTTTTAATAATTTTATTTCTTACAGCTAGATTCAAATGGTATAGCAGTATTAATTGCGCCAAATGATAAGGAATGTCTTATACGTAAGTCAACAATAACACGACCTACACAACCACCACCACCACCACCACCTCCAACACTTTCAGCACGGTACATTACCGCATTATTCATATCTGAAATTTTGATAAAATAAACTATCATTGATTAGAATTTCAGAAGTACTCTTAACAAAGCACTATCATCAATTCATTCTGAACCATTATCTTCATTCAAACAATCACCATCACCACCAGCGCCACCATTACCAACAAAACCGCCTAATTTATCTCTTAAAATGATTGTAACGAATAGTTGTGATGGTACCTATGAAATACCAAATACAACAAGGAAAAGGTATGCATATCCAAAATTTATTCGATACCTAAGTGTTTTAATTTAGTACTCAATATTACAATATAACAATACTTTAGTACTTTAGCAATACTTTGATATCCTCCAAAAAGATCTTTGAAAATTTTGATCATCCAAAAATTAAAACTTAAGAATTTTCCAATACTTCAAAATAAGAAAAACGAAGCAAATACAGTTAGGATGAACAATTTTTCATTTTACTCAAAATTTAATAACACCTTTTCTTGCTTTAACAAAAAAAAGGAAAAAAAATTTCTCAAAAAATTTTTTTCGAATTTTTTAAATGATATCAAACGTTTATAATATTTACAATAAGAAATGAGCGAAATGTTCTCATTTATGGGAGATGTTGTAAATTGAAATTTGAAGATTTTTTCAATATTCTAAAATAAATTCTAATTTTTTCTTTGTAATGCATCATTTAGAAATACTAAATTTAAGATTGTCATCATTGGTTCAATCCAATACAGTAATGGATTACACACAATCATTTGATCATTATACTGTAAATTATGATGATAATATATCACGAAAATTTGATGATGATTTTGATGATGATTTCGATGATAGCGGATTGCTTTCTGAATCAACAAATGATGAAAAGCAACAACAACAACAATCGATACAGTATACGGTGATAGTTCCCATGAAAGAACGTTTACCTGTACAAGGTAGTTTCAACTTTAAATTCGTTGAAAATATTAGATTCTCTACGTTAAGTCTTCCTTCTTTCCTCATTTTTAACCTTTTTAACCTAAATTATTTCGATATTTAAAGATTATTTGATATATCATGATGACGTTTTAAGCATAATTTTCACTTGTCAACTTTACAGAAAAAAAAAGCATGAAATCAGTACCCCAAAATATAACCAAATTGTCTACACGTGAGGAATCATTCTCATCCAATGAATCCAGAGGTCAACTCTGTCCATCGGTTGATACGGTAAGCACTGGGCTAAGCGAAGAAGATGAGCGTTTTATTTCTGTTACCGATATTGTGCGCAAATTTAATGGTGGAAAATGTTAACAAATTTGATCTAACTCAAAAATTACTCATCAATAATTTGATGTTATGTCCCAAGATAGTAACAAGATTTCGGGCCTAGTTTTTATGTGACTTGATCTGTGACAATAAATGATCTCATAAATTGAAGTGATAACATCAGCATTATTGCCCTATCACTTACCGATTGTTTCCTCAAACAAATATTGTTACGCGAAATATCAGCAAATTTTGAGGAAGTATTTCGAAATGCTTTTTTATTTATTTATGTATACTACCGCTTAAACAAACATGATATCGTTTGTTATTATTACGTTATCATTTTATCAGCATCATTAATGCTGCAATTATCACCGCCATTATTTGTTTTCATTGTGTTATCATTTTATCGGCATCATTTTTTATCACTCGCCTATTTTCATTGTTTTATTATAATTACTTGCACTGCCAGTTCTTCCTTCACCGTATTTCTTTGTCCAGTGACAGTTTAATAGTTTTGAATTATCAGACAATCACTTTGGTAATATCAAAATACCCGAACTATCTCTTGATCAATTTGCTTACTTCAAAATGTTCTAACATTAAAGGATAATCTTGTTTAGAACTGGAAAATACTATTCGATAAATGAATAACATATTGGAAATGAATTATCATTTAACCCAATAAGTGCATATAGATTACAGAGAGAATGAAATTTCGACTGATATGAATATTCAAAAAAATATACGTTGTATATTCTTATCGAATATAAATTATTTAATATTACCTCTTACTCAGGTGTATAACTGCCAATAAAAATAAATAATTATTATTATCATTATATATCATTGTTATCATTTATTTTTCTTGTTTATCACTTCATCTTTTGCTGTTCTCAACTTTACCCTACAGTGTTTCTCAAACTGGTTTGTTGTTTGTTTATGTTTTTTGTTTACTTTATTTTAATTGTTAAATTTTATCTTGTTCATTTCCTATCACAACAAATGTTATCATTTTCAGTTTTAACACTCAAATGATAACAATATTCATGAAATATGATGCAACAAGCATATAACATGATATAATGTTTGCAAATTTCACAACCGTACAATCAAGCTGTCACTATTAGAAAAAAAAAAAATGAATGTCACCAAAATTAGAAATTCGAACAAAACAAATTTTACTTCTCAATAAAACCTGATGAATTACAAATGATATCATCCATGACTGTTGATTTAATTGTCGTATTTCAATATTTGAAAATGACTCGGGAGAAATCATCAACGCGTGGGAGTTTCTTTTTTCTTACCTTCCGCTATATGAGAGAATTGATGACGGATAATGAATGTTTCCTACAATACAGTTGTTTGACCTTTACCCTTCCAAAAAAAAAGGAAAGCCGATTAGAATATGACAATAGCTGTTTTAAAATATGTTAAAATTTCACTATATAATTTCTAAAATTTCGGAAAACAAATAGTGAAAATTTACTCCGGAATCATTTCCAAATTACCGGAAGGCATTTATTGATAATAGAAAAAGATAAAAATTAATTTTATCAATAAAAAATTTAGTCGATTAAATAGCCTGAAAAAAAGTTAATGACAATTAAAAAAGAAAAGGCTCTACTATTTTATTCATACCGGAAATTCATTCCGGAATCAGTTCCAAACTATCAGAAAATATTTATCAATGAAAAGTTGATTAAGTAGCATGAAAAAAAGTTAATGTCAGTTGAAAAAAAAATGAAGGACAAAGACAACACACTGGGGAAAATCCTTCAAACTTTAAAAAAAAAACCCACCATTACTTTATTCGGAAATTTATTCCGGAATCATTTCCAAATTTTTGAAAATGCAAAAATGGTTGTCACAACGTGTGTCATAGTATTTTCTCATTCAACTCGTGTTTCTCATGTCACTATCATCACGAGTAAATATGGTATTGTTTCCAAGGAATCATAATGGATGTGAATCGGATAATGTATTAAAGTTACTTATATGAATGTCTGGGAAAGAATTTCTTTGATTTTGAATTCATCTGAGAATTTTCTCATACCGCCCATCAGGAAATCGTCATTAAATCGACCGACCTAATCTAACCTATTCAATTCATTTCAGGTAACAAATTAAATATCGTTGCCTCTTCATGTTTTTAACCTTTTTTTCTTTTTTAAACTTAAACATGTCTGATTTACTTTATGTTTTCTGTAACAAGTGACATTAATGAGGTACCAGAATTTTTCCCGGATCAAAATTAAAACGATTTCTAATATTCATTAATTAAACAGGTCATGGTAATTACTTTATATATTCAAATAGTTAATTCAATTGTAAATTATATTATTTTCCCTTTACATTGAAAAAAAATGGTAGCCTAAAAGCTAAGGAAACAAAGTTATATTGATAAACTAACATGGATTAATTATTCTTTACGAGGTTAAATAATAAATATACTTGCTAATGGATTATCAAATGGTTACCTAAATAGTAATTAACTTACTCGGAAATTAACTTCTTCCGTAACTTACTTAAGATCGATAGTAATTGATAATAATTTTTGAGGTTTTAATTTTTGATTCAAACTTGAATTCGTATAACTAAGATAACATGTTAATTTTAGAATTTATGCAAATGCAATCAAACGATTTGGCTTTTACTAGTTCGAGTGATTTAAATTTTTTGCTGGTATTCTTTTTTTTCTTCGAAATAATTTTCTAGCCAATAAAATTGGAAATGATATCGTATGCGGAGATAGAACAGGTCGTCCAAATTTAAATAAACCGGATTTCAAACGTAGAAATATTTTGAAGTAGTGCTTTAGAGATAATTCAGGATTGTTGCCGGAATGCTGGAGCTAAATTAAGCATACTAAAATTTGTTTCCGGACAAGAAATAATAAGCTTATTTCTAAAATTTGTCCATTAAATGATCGATCAAAGATTTTTGATTTTTCGAACAATTCCGAACAGAAGTCCAAATTCTACTGACCCCCGCATGTTAAATTTCATTTTATTTCACTTTTTTTTTCTAAAAAAAACACAGAAAAGTTGAATTTGTGTAAATTTAAATTTAAAACTCTAAAATCGCAGCAACCTGTCCCATTCCTAATTATCATTCCTTTGTTTAAATTTAATTTCGTGCCACAGGCTGAATTCAATTCGTTTATTTGTTGATGACTTAGTCAGCGCGGAGAAAAATAACTTGAATTGAATCCAGTTACAGTACTACAGATGATTTGATCAATCAACTTTGTTGTGACAATTGAATACAAAATGATATAGAGCGCTTGTTTGGAAGTTTGGAAGTCATTTTAGATGGCTGATTAATTGTTATTCAAACAAAAACAAAAAAAAAATGCTTAAATTTTGATTTTAAGTTCAAAAAATAATTGGCAGAATTATTAATTGAACCAATGGAATGATTACAATGATTTGATTTTGTTTGTATTATCAGAGAAATGATAATTCAAGCGTTCACTTCATAATTCATTCTATTCAAATAAACAAAAATTTTATCTATTTGATTTCGGCTGGAACGAAATGATTTCTTCAGGAAATCGGAATAGAATAAAACCAGCCTGAATTTTCATAATGATGACTTGTGTACTTCTAAAAATGAGATTTTAAAAAAAAAAAAGACTAATTCAAATCATGATTACTACTTATTTTTTTCTTTTTTTTTTTTAGAGTAAAGCGGAAATTGAACGTCGTCGACGAGCTCGAATGAATGCTTCATTGGATCAATTGAAAATGTTTCATTTAATAAAATCACCAAAAATCGAATCAAAACTGGAAAAAATTGAAATTTTGGATTTAACAATTAAATATCTTCGATCAGTTGGTAATGACCAAAGACAAGGTAAAGGCAGTGGTGTTTCCGAACAGTTTTTGCTATTGACAAATGTGCAAATGTATCGGATTTTTTTTCTTTTTCATTGAATATTTGAAAAATTTTCAAATTTCGAGTTTATAGACATTCAAAATTTAAAATTTTCTCAAATATCAATTTCATATTTTCGACCAAATTTCAATCAACTGACATTTCTTTTTTTTTGAATAATTTAATAACTAGTATTTGATAGTCTAAATGGCGAATGAAATTATTGTAATATTTACAGGATTATATTTTGTCCAACATAACATCACAGCCTTGTATGAAATCCAGCTTCTTCATTCCGGCCATCAAACTTTAGATCGTTTAGTTTTATTTAATTCGCAAATACACTTTGCGATTTGCGAACAATTATTATTATTATCATCTGAACTATATTATTGAAATTACCGTAAATTTGTTTGTTGCAAACCTTTTATTTCGGCTTTTAATGAATGCTTTGCAACATTAGCAATTTTTTTTCATCGCAAAAATTAAATTGCGATTAATCAATTTTCACCTGTATCATCATCATCGTCATCGTTCGCTGTTCCGGTGATTTGCTAAGCAGGCTGTATTGGCAAAAACGGAGTCCTGTGAAGTTTACCGTTTTTTTTCTTTTTTCTAAGGATATATTTGGGTCTTTTTTTGCTCCGATTTTGAATAAATATAAATATTTCAATTTATACTAAAATTTCATCAAAGTTTCAAGGAGAAAAAAACTTGTAATCGATATTGTCATTATGCAAATTTAATTAAGCCATTTATCAACATTGAAGTAATGGAATTTCCAGGAGCAGAAAAAATGGCATATACAGGATTCAAGGATGGATTTCAGGCAGCTCAAAAGGTCATCACATCATTTATTTATAACCGATGTCATTCTTCTGTTTCGTCACCGTTGGTTGCATCAATCAATGCAGAACTTGCATCCGTATTTGATCAGTCTTTCAAATCGATGAATTGGTTACGATTCGTTTATGGAAATGATGATAAAGGTCAATTAAATTCAATATAATATGACTCATGTATAAATTATGTAAAACGAGACAGATTTACGTCTATTAAACTGTTAATCTGATTTGTCAGATAATTAGTTTGAATCTGAATGTAATCTGAATCATTAGGCTTCAGTAGGCTCTATAGGACTCATAGGACAAACTAACATATTTAGTGGTTCATTTAGTTGCACACTAAGCCATTCGTTCTCCCAATTTCAAATTTTGTTTTATTCATGGATAAAATACTACTAATTTTTAATTAGCGCTTACTAAATCCAACTGAAGTACATCAAATTGCTTGCATGTGTCACTCCTGATCATTCATTCTTGGTCATTCAACAGTATTTCAGGAAGGGAGCAGTCTTCATCAGCAAATACTCCAAAAATGAATTTATCCCAATTTGGACGACAATCAGCAAACTTCATATCACAATTGCATTCAACACCCATTTTTCATTCCTACAGTATTCCACCATCATTCGAGTCACCTGAAAGTGCATACAGTAACCAATCGTTATCACAATCGCTATCATTATCAACATCATCAACATCAGCAAAAGGAAGCGACGAAAGTTTGAATGAATCAAACAACACGACAGAATTCGTTTGTGTCACTTGTGAGGAAAATTGTCTTTGTGATAAGAAATAAATCCGGAACAAGCTTTGCTACAATGTATGCATGATTCCGGATTCATCAGTGATCAGTGATATGTCTGTATTCTGAAATGGTGCATCAAATGAAATTGCAAAAACCTTCGTGTAATTCTGTTCGTTTAATAAGTGACTATTAGTTTGAAATTTTATATTTCAAATTTTTGCAGTTTAAAATTTTAGAAGGTCCATGCAATATTGCTACAATGTTATAGTTAAGAAGATGTGCATGCCTGCCAATATCTTCATAGTGAGAATTCTTAGATATTTCGAGAAAAGGAACTCTTACTCCGAATACTCGCACTCCTCCATTTCCTTGCTTTGTTTCTATTGTATTAGTTAATTACTGCTACAATAAAACTTTGATGGTGAAGAAAAGTAAGATTTGAAGGGATGACAGATGTGTTTGTTGAATGCAGAATAAGATTCGTTGTATAATGGATCAATAAATGTACAAATAATCCGTTTTTTTTTCTCCATCTTTTATCACTGACTCTCTTCTCTTATAAGAAACAATCAAGGATTCCTATCAGTAGAACTCATCCATCCATGTTAATTCATAAACCTTACCATATACAGAATTAGATTGACAATTGCTGTTAAACTTGATCATGGGATTATTCCATAGATACCAAATAAAGCCTATTAATACAATGTTTTCTTTCATTAAAAGATTGAAAAATTCCGTCACGAATAATAAATTACTAAATTAAGCATTATTAGTTCGCATGAAGTATAATAACTTGTTACACTTCTTTTTTTTCCCCCAGACTTCCTCTGACATAAAAAGAACTGAATAAAATCCGCCAAGATAACTGTTTCAGTTGAGCTTTGAATAGAAATTCAACCATTTATTTAGTCAATCGTCCACATCTCCTTCTGCAACATCATCACAGAATACATTTTTACCACAAACAGTTAATAGTATATTAATTTTATTTAGTTGGAAAAAGTGAGATAAAACAATCCAGTAGATGGTACCAAATAGCCAAATAACAAAACCCTGCACAAAACATACCTTTTCTTCATTGTATTATATATTTCGAAATGAAATTCCGGAAATATAAAAGAATTAAGTTTTTAATGACTTTATGGTGAGAAAAAGTAAAAGAACAATGTTAAGAATGAATAATTTAGTTAATAAAGTCGGACCACACATCCATATATCCAAAATGCTTAATGAAATTTACCGTGATATTCATTTATATGAAAGTTTGGTTGAATTCTCGAAAAACTGTGACATACATCTCTACTGCTTATTGATCTACCAACCCTGACATCGTTAACTTCTAATACTTTGCTCCACTTCACTTATGCATACATTTTGCTTATTAATATTTCAAAAAGCTATCTAGTTATCTTATAAAAATATATGGATATGATATCATTTTTTATGTTTGAAATTGTGCCAAAGCATGAAGAATTGCAATTCGAGCATGCACTCGACTACCATTATCAATTGACTTCAACGACATACAAACAAAATCGGCGAAGCACTCGTCGGCATCACGAGGACCGACTGTTCGGTCAAAGACGGATTTTCGTTCCGCTAAACGCTGCAACGCTTCAACACTACGCATCAATGCATGTGCAACTGTATCGGATGGTGAATCTGGTGAAGGGTCCAGTCTAGAGCGTTTCACTGGTACTTTTTCAAGTGCCATCAAATCTGCTACTTCTGTTACAGCCGTTGTTGTTGCTGAGCTTACTGGCGGTGTTGGAGATTTATGACTTGCTTTTCGGATCCTCAGTCGTTTTGGTATCGAACGCTCTGGTCCAGACGATGAGGGAACCGTTTCTTCTTGCTCCATTAACATGTCATCACCAATCCTGAAAATCAGTGGAATAAATATGAGCTTTCATGCACTCTGCAATACGGCAAGTACTTCTATTTAAAGTATGAAATTATATATAAACAAAAAAAACTCCTTGAAAATAGACTTTGCTACTGCAAAAATTTGTTTCGTATGATTTTCACAACGCTAAAATTTGTAAGATGTGTGAAACGTCGGTAAAATGCATGGCATAAGATGGAATGACAAGTTATCAGATTCATTTTATCGCCTTTTTGAGGCAGCAAAATTGACTTCTGATTCCTTTCAGTTAACCGGCATTAATTTTCTCACTCACAATATTAACCAAATCTCATAAATGCTAGCTCTAACTATCAGAAAACTTATCATGAAGTTTTGGGGGAAGGAAAAACGAACAACCTGTTATCGAAACTATAACTGGTATCCGATGACTGCTCAAATAATTCCGGTTTTACAAACATAGATGTTGTAACATCGCAATGAGTTGCAGTATTGCTGCTGCTTTTATCACTGCTGTTGCGGTTACTACTTCTGTTAGGTTTTGATGGCGTAATCCTAGGTGAGCAAATGTTTCTAATTCAATTACTTTAACATAGTAATGCAATTTTACACAATTACAACATATTTGTAAAACGATTATCGTTTAGAGATTTCAAGTGTCTGTGACTGAAGCTAGCTTTAAGCCTGGTTCTTGAAATATCAACTTGAACAAAAAACCACTTCAAAATATTTTTCAAGGACTTTACTTGAAAAGCTCAGTGAAATGTTAGAATAAAAAACACTTTTGAAGAGCTATTTAAATGTCTCATCCTTAGTTCAACAAGTATTTGGATATGATACTGACAGTGAAAGGATAATGGTAAGAAATGGGATATGTTAAACCTATTTTCCGTGCAGGAGTTGTCCAAGAAACAGAGATCAGCATAATAGGAGAATGATGACCCAACACCGCATGTCATCACACGTCGACGTTCCTTCGTATATCGATCGCGTAACGTACGCCAACGTGTCTTCACAGCTTCTACTGAAGTTAACAACAATTTCAACAGCACTACTTTTGTTGGATTCTTTTTGCGAATTAAACGAATTATAAATTTTTTTAGCAAATAAAAGATATTATCCCTAACTAACCCTTCTCATTAAGTTTAGCAGCAATTTCAATCCACGTTTCCTGTTTCTTGATTGCATTACCATACAGAGGATGAGAGAAATCATAGATTATTGGATTCAGACGTACTTCTCTGATTAAACTATCGTTGAATGTAGAATCTGGCCCACCCTTCGATGACATCACTGAACTGTTACCCATCTAATGCATCAGAATGCCTGAAATATTCAAAATATGTGCTTTTATTAATTTTGTTTTTACCCGAATATGCAAAATTAATAAACAAACGGTTCCGAATACTAAACATACAGATAATAGCATCCCAACAAAGAAGAATTACAGAAATCAAGCTAAGACGATCCTTCTTGTCGCAAGAAAACTTATCTACATCCTGTATCGGTGATAAACGAAAGTTGAGCTAAGCAGATTCTTCTTGTTAGAAGAAAATGCCTACATCCTATACCGATGAAAAAGTTAAAGAAGTCGAGCTAAGAAGATTCATCTTGTCACATGAGAAATACCTACATTCTGTATCGATGATAAAATTGCTTAAACGATCATGCTAATTTACCGGGAGTGATAACGACTGCGCAGGTTTCTTCATATCAAATTTCACTCACAAATCTCTCTCAAACAAATTTTTTAAAAAAATCTTTTTTATCACTGAAATGACCTAATTTTGCAAAATCATTGCTATTTCGCGTTATATTTTCGTAAACATATCCATTACTAAAGTAGTAAATTATACTTTCGTAAACATATCCATTACTAAAGTAGTAATACTGCGTCATTTACGTCCTATATATATATATATATATATATATATATATATATGAAGACTCAGATGGACAGTTGTTACCAAGTATTTGTCATACTTCAGTCCTTCGGGGTCAATCCAATAATGTAGCAAAGGTCAAAGTGAGAAAGTTATCGTTGACGACAGGTATAGCAATCGAATGGAAAAGTTTATACATATACAGATTTAAATGCAAGGAAGACAAAAACATCTGTTGGTCGTTGCTATCGTCGGAACCGACTGAGCAAAACCATCAATGCCTGCCGGCCGGTCGGTACCAATGCCGACCTACAACACCGTCGTCCTCCACTCCTCTCCATTGTCATCGCCACGATCGATCCGGGCTTCCCTGCGTACCGCTTGTTCCGTCGTCAATCCGCCGAAGTTATCTACACACTAGCATTTTACAAAGTGTCTATATTTCTGTTTCGTTGTCTCTGTTACATATCATATGTGTTTCTATGTATGTATGTATATATATATATGCGTATGTGTGTGTATGTATGTATGTATATATGCATATGTGTATGTATGTGTGTGTATATGTGTATCTGTCCATGTGTCTATCTTTGTTTGCTCAATTGTTCATAACACACTTCTGCGGACAATTCTGCGGTCCACGGTGGAGGAAGTTAGCAGAATGGTAGATGGCTTGGGTCATAGGTCATAAAGTATAGTTATTATCTCGAAGTAATATTATTATCTGTTAGACAAGATTACTTCCTTGTCCTTCGAGAGGATATAATAAGTACTATTATTCCTCAAATAAGGTAGCATATACCTTCATAATATTATTTTATTAATGCTGGTAGATTTTCATTGATAAATTAAATGTTTATTGATTTTGTAAGCTGTACCGCGATTGGCTAATAGTTATTTAAATAAAGGAAAATAGACTAATTCCAGGTGCTCTGGATAAGTTCAAATTTCAGGATTTTTTCATTCTGTGGCAGTTTAATGAAAAATTCCCTAAACAAAAATGTGGTATGAATGTGATCGTTAGAAGCAACCTCTCTTGTTAGGTATTATAGTTTGATTGGAATAAATATTTCTTTGCAAAAGAAAAAAATTTAAAATCAGGAAATCCAAATATGATTTTGAGAAAGGGATTGATAAAAAGATTTTAAAGAAACAGAAATTTTAAAGCCAGCAATGGTCACGTCATGATCACGCATATACGCGTACGTGTAACGTAGTTGGTGTTGAAATTCATTATCTCAACAAGAGATATTACTCTTCTCGAAATTCACCGATGTAAGTCATTCATTCAAAATATCTGGGAAAAAATTCATTAGGAAAAGAAACGCTTTCAGTACCATAATAATCATAATTTGATTGATAATGATTTATGATTATGATTACTCAAATTAATTATTATGACAATTATGATTATTTTAGCAATCAAATCACGATTATTTTAGCACTGAAACAATGAATAGGACACATGGTGACGGAAAAGATAAAAGAATGACGAGAAGCTTGTGAAAGGAAAGTATTGATATAATTGATAATACAGCCAGCTTCCAGTTATTTCTTTGTTTCGGATAATGAACGAACGAAGTGATACTTTGACAGCATAGATTCTTCTTGATCTTCTTATCATTCAGCATTCTTTCCTTTATTATTTAGGACAACCATTTTATTCAAAATTTTCGGGAAGTTTATTACCTTAAATTAGTTGGCAAATTTCACTTTTAAAACTTTCCGAAGAAATTTATATTTCTTTTTTAAAAATTTTTCTTTGTACATTGATAGCAGCAATATTTTTGCATATTATCTTGAATGGCAGTAATTTTGTGAGGAAGTTGAGGATGTAATGGCATCTTCGGATGATACGGCTAATTCGGAACTGATTGATAAATCGGTATCATCTGGCTTGGCATCTAATTTTTGTGGTTCCATTACGAATTCATCAGGCTCCGGATAATCGCCGATCATTGCCTGCAAAAAGTCCTTCAGTATTGGTAGTCATGTCATGTTAAGTTCGATATATTCTTGAAATTTCTTCAGATCTGAGGTGTTCAAAGAGGAATTGCATTATGAGTTCATCAATAACAAATCAGTCGTTTTTAATCTCAAAAAGATTACAGTATCTCCAATATATTAAATGTAGGAATTGTAGCAAATCAACGACATGATGCGACCTGGTATGATCACTTTAGTGATTCACTTAGACTTTTTTTTCGGTATTTTTAAGTAAAAAAAAATCTTATTCTCCCCGTTTGCAAAATCAGCAAGTTGTGGGAAATGATAACAGTGGTCGTTATGATTAATCTATGATAACGAAAACGAGTCTAAAGAAATTTTTTTACGAGCCGGAAACAAGCCTAGAGAAATCAAATGCATAAAACCCGATACATCATTCGTTTTGCAAATTTTGCTAATATCCATACGTATCTCTTTTTCTTCCCAGTCCTTTGACCATACTTTACTGTAATTTAAAACGAACTCACTTTTAAGCCGACAATATCTCCTTTGACAACCAATAACTGAGGTAAATTATGGAAATCTTCAAAAACCTACAATTCCAACTTTATTAGGAATAAAAGTTTTAGCTCAGCTACTGAGACATATATTGAGTAATTAATAAAGTAAATGATAACAGGCATTCCTAATAAAGTCGGATCTGTTATTAATTACTTAACATACGTTTCAGTAACTTCCAGACTTAGAAGAAACTTTTGAGAACAAATTACACTCTGACCTCTCTTTATAGAAGTCAGTTATTATTGCTTCTGTAAAATGATGCGATACATAAAAAATATTTCCTGAGAATTCATAATGAAAGTTGAATGACCTTACACAAATTGCGAAACCTCAAATAATAATATGGCTTACTTCATAATTTCGGCATTTATGCACAATAAGCTTTTTGAGTTGAGGATGTTGAGCTAATTCGACCATTGTCCCGCGATTAATCTTTTCGAGATCAATTTCACGCAAGTATATGAACTAAAACAACAGGATAAGTATTTCATAAAAGTTTATCAATTTTTTTTTCCAATTATGGCATACTTATGACCATCTAATAAATATAATATACCTTCGTCATCATTAAAATCTTATATACAACTAAAACAATGGTTATTCATTCAATACATGTTTTATCTTGCAGACAAAGTATCCTCAAGCATCTTCTCGAGATTAATCAAATGGTCTTCAGTATCAGTTGATACCAAGTCATAGTCATACTAACGTATTATCGATTGGTACTGGAATACTAACATATTGAAAATTGAGATCAGTAAAAGTAAAATGGATGTATATATAGGTATTTACTCTTTAAAATTAACATCTCATAGTTTTCAAACTTATTGGCTTATAAAGTTAATAACCATCATTCCCACAAAATAAACAAGCTCGCGCTAGTTTCTCTTAGTTGAATAAATATAATAACTCAAATTAAGAGATGAAAACACTGAAATGTTTAAAATAATCTTGGCATATCATTATACTATTTGAAAGCTGTTCACTTTATCTTGCATTTAATCTGATAAATTATCGTCAGACGTTCAAAATGAAAAATTTTTCTATTCTCAAGTAATTTCAAACTTTTTTTTCAGTTTCCGAGAAAAAGGATAGCAAAATTACACCCTTGCAGTAATGCAATGAAGTCTGAATAGAAAAAAAAAAAGAAAATTTATGATATGGAAAAAAAAGGAAACATTCTAAAGAACTAACTTGAAGACAAGGCATATTTCTTGCCATATAGGAAAAGAAACTATCTGGTAGAAAAGCATAATCAACGGGTGTATCCACAATACATACACGTATCACTCGATGCTCTAATTTCCTCAGCAATGCTAATAAAGGCCCCTGCAAAGTAAACATCTTGTCTGAATGAGGAGTCTAATACTTGTTTAATAAAAATGAAGCCATAAATCAATATGTACTAGTCTTGCAGTATTCCTTTTTCAACCATTTTAGAATTTCAATACAAATGAGAAAATTGTTTCAAAATCGTATAGAAACTAAATTATCTCGAGAAATTGTTTCTGTTGAAATTGTATTTGTACTAAAGCAAACTTTGAAATTTTGAAAATTTAAGATTCATTCAGTGTTAAGCGATTCATCCATTCAGATAATTTTTCATGTTTAATTTCATCAATTTTTCATTCCGAGACAGATGTCTATGAGGAAGTTATGGAAAATGATAAACAAGTAAAATAGAATTAGCTATAAAAAAATAATGATCATGAGTAACAAACATTGATAAATAATTAAAAGGACTTTTATTGTAACAGTTATTTTTTTCCTAATCTAATCTGAAAGTCTGAAATAAAACGATACATAAATAGATGTCAATTAAGACATAATTACCAGAAACAATCAGATTAACTTCCTTCCAATTTACTTTTTCTAATTGATCTACATCAGTCAAATGTGATAATATCTTTGTAATCTCGAATTTTCAACCTTTCAAACAATGAAACGTCCAAGTAAGGTTACATGGACTTAAATTTGGTTGAAAAGGTATGTATGAAAAACTTGCACAGGATGATAGCAATCTTCAAATACCAAACTTCGAAATTATTGTAGCCTATTTAAACTAACCCTACCGAAAATGAGACAATTAAAATTATTTGATATCGAGTTGCTATGTTAAGGATTTAAGCTAGGTCAGGCTTGTACATTTTACAAGTTGATTAGTTGAGAAAGTAATGAAAATCAAATTAACTAGTTCAAATAAAAAGAAAAAGTAGGTTTGTTTAATTTTATTGGTTTAACTAAGGAAAAAGTAAATGATTTAAGTTTATTAGTTCAAATTAAAAAAAAAACGAAACCTCATGTTCATGGAAATGGCAACTACAGCAATAAATATAAGCCACTTGTCGTTTCCAAAAGATTGGTCCATCAAAACTCATATTAACAGTCATTTTTTCATGTCCACTACAGTGATTCTTTCGAAATATGATATAAACCCAAACAGGTCGATTATCGATCTGTGATGCCATTAATGATACCTCACGCCACTTTCGATTCACTAATTCAAGCCTATAATTCAATTTCATATGAAGTTCCATAAATTAGCTTAGAAAATGAAATGGATATTAGGAAAGGTATACTGTATTTGTATGATAATAGATAAGATTCTTGTATGAGGTATATTCCAAGAAAGAATGCAAGAATTCTCGATGATTTAGCTATGAATAATGAATGACATGCGACAAATTTTAAAATACACATCCCAGAGATAGTGAGATGAATGAAGAGATATGTATGAAAACATGAATATAAATGAATGTAAGTAGAAATATTTCAAAATGACACAGACATAAATGGACAGACACATACACACATACACATACACAAATAGTTTGAATGATTAGTTATATATCATCGAACAAATCAAAATGACTGAAGAGTAAGGATGAGCGATTGCGAGGGAATGTGGTTGGCTTATTTTTCACTGATTTTCAGCCTAACCAAAAATGAGCCTTTGTTATGTGTCTACCTCTAAGTCTAGTAAACTTGATAGGCTTTTTATTCCAAGAAATCTGATAAACAACAATTATTTTTATTTACTCAGAGATATTACTGATTGTTATCAAATGAAGATAAGAATTAAAAGGGAATAAAATTAGACATTGCATTGAATAGGGATGGAAATGAATGATAAGCATAAATTGATCTATATAGTTAAGTAATTTCCCTATTCATATATGTAAATTATCTTATCATTATCTTATCAGTTCTTCAATTCATCTAAAGAGATTACAGAAAGGAAGATAAACCGCATGAGAATATAATACAAATAAAATGATAGAAGAGATATGAGACTAGATGATAAGGAATCTGATGAGACACTACGGTGTCACATTAAATCCCAAAGGAGATGAGGAGAGGAATTCAAGGAACATAGTTCAGGCTAAGATTACCCGGTCTTTTAGTAAACCGGAACAATAACATTCCCACTGCTTACTCTCTCAATTAAATGAATAGAAAAGCAAAATGTCCAATCCATCATCCGTTTATGTTGTGAATATCCCATCCGTAAACATATTTCCGTATGTTTGTTTCTGCAATGCTTCTGTGTCTGTCTCTGTGTGTGCATATGTATGTTTATATATACGCATATGTATACATGTATGTATGCATGTATGTTTGTTTGTGCGTATATATGTATGTGTGCGTGTACATATGTGTGCATGTGTGTGTATGTGTCTGTGTGTGTATGTATGTGTGTGTATGTGTGTGTGTTGTGTCTGTGTCCGTATATTGTGAAGCATGCATAATGCAACAAAATGAAAATGCATAAAATTTAGTGTTCCGCGCGGTATAAGTTGTCGCATGAGCAATTAGCACAGCGATATGCTATAGCGGAAAAGTTGGTTAGGTGTAAAGTAGCATGAAATTTTCTGCGAAAGAGAAGAGATGAAGAGAAGTATTCGAACTAAGATGTAAAAAGCAATTCAGCAATTTCAGCTAATCCTTGAATAAAATGTTACATATCAGTTAGTCATAAGTAATGATAGCGATGATAGTATCATTATAAGTTAGCAATTTCAGCTAATCCTCTAACGAAATGTTACATGATATGTGTAACATTACAAAATGCTACATGATATGTAACATTTTAGCCATAAATAATGATAATGATGATAGTATCATAAGCTTTACTAATGATTCAAACTTTTTCCTATTTACTCTTAGCAATCCATTTATCTTTTCCGCACTATCATTTTGAAAAATAATAGCCTGAGTTGAAACGAAATATCTCAATAAGAGAAGTACGACGTAAAAAATGATGCAAGATGAAGTAATGAGAGGTGGCATTATGCGTTATTACATGCCGCAACCGGCATTATAAAGCGGAATTGTTCGATGGACTGATTGCACTGAGTAACGCTGAAAGCATTTGTCATTCAAATGATTTACTTACCTTGTTCGTTGTTTAAATGAAAGTTGTCGAAGAATTTTTGCACCAATTTCAACCGGTAACTCTTGTACTGGATCAATTGTTAATATGCGCCGATAGGATTGAACTTGATATCGTCGGTTGCTATAGTAAGTTTGGTCGTATTTAGCGCCTCCGGAATGCATTTACCTCTTGCTGTTGTAGCTTTCGAATCCAGATATAAATTACTTGGAATAAAAATTTCTTTTTCCTTGCCAATTAGGACAGTTAAATACTGAAGCTATCGAGCAAATTCTGTTTCCAATAAAATACTGGAATATATAATTTATTTAGTTTGTGACAAATAACTCTAACTTTGACAATAGGCGCAACGTGCGGAAGTCACTTAACAATAAGAAATTGAAAGAACTTATTGAATATATTTCCGATTATTACGGATAATGCATCCATAATGAGATCCAAAAATCATTCTGGTATAAGCCATCAGCCAGATATTGATGACGCAATACAAAATCATTGAAGTATTAACTTTTTGGCTTGTAATACGATGATTAACAAAGAGATACTTTGTATTTTTATTCCAGATTATTCGCACTAATTCAATTATAAATTAAATTATACAAATATAGCAAAATGAAATTCTTCCGCTGCAACATTATATCAGCAATTGGTATTTAATTTTAAAATTGCTAATTAACGGTAAAAATCTGAGCATTCACTTATACAATTATGCAAACTATTTTCTAATAATTTCTCTTTTTTGACATCGAAAGTTAATGAAAAGATTGAATTAAATTCAAGATTTTTAATGAAAAGATGTGAACTAAATTCAAGATTTAATAAAAATTATTTGAGCAGTATTTATTTGAAAATGATTGATTTGATTGTACAGTCGTAGCATTAAACGGTTGACATATTTTAAATTGAAAACATTTACTATGTGAATTTTTTAATTCAAATATAATATAAAAAATAATTGTGAAATTAAAATCAATCTACAAATTGCTGCCAAAAGAAAGTTCCATTTGAAAGTGAAAATAAATTTTAAAATTTCCGATTCTTATTTAATGCCAAATGAATGGAAGAAAAGCTAACGTATCTTTTAAAGCTTTAAAACTAATTAATATTAAATTAGATTTTATTCATTCCCATTTTTTTTTTGATCTTCTTGCAAAATTGATATTATATTTTAAAAATACATGAGCTAATAAATTAGTGTAGCTTCATCGAAGGTCTAGCTTTGAGGGGCGGGAGAAGAAAAATCTCATATATACTGAAATAACTATTCAAAAAAAATGGAAGTATTGCACTAAGTGATTTGTCTAACAAATTATGAAATATCGTTGACTGTCATGACATTAATCAATTTTCATTTTATTGATAACATCAATCATTGATTGAAAAAATTTATTTTAGTTCTTTATTCCACACCCTAGTAGTGGTACTCTTACAAATTATTTCAAAATTTCATCCACTTTCGTCTAAGATTTGTTTACGCCAAAAGATAATTATGAAAGAATGCTTGAAAAGTTATTTACGTTTTTGTACTTTTATACTTTCAAAAAATTTTGACATAATAGTTATCATTTACTTAAAATTTAACTTTCTCACTTTTGCCCATAAATTTTATTTGAAAAATCGCTTAACTAAAATTTAAAAAAGTAAATAATTTTTTAGCAAAAAAGTAAATGAAAGTAAATAAAACTAAAAACTAACTATAAAGTAAATCATTCGTAGGTATTCTTATCATACAACTTTCACGTTTTACGTGTAATTTAACGAACAAACAAGAAAAGTACACTTCAAATATATTTTCAGTATGAGTACATAAAAGTAAGCATTATATAAGTATATAATTGTGAAATGTACAAATTTAGAAAATTTTTGAGAGAAAAATTTTCAAAAAAGAAAATATATTGAAATTCTAATAATTTAACTGTACCGCTTGATATGATGTAAGTATTCGGCGCAAAATGTAAACCATTATTGAAGATGAGATGAGCATTAAATCTTCTAAAAAAAAAAAAAAGAAAATTTCAAAGTTAGAGAAGATTTCTTAGTTAAAACTATCACAAAATGGAATATGGAAGTATTTTATAAAAAACTTTCTCAACTATTCCATTTTTAATTTAATTTTTCTAACATATGGATAGATTTCAGTGAAATTTAGTAAAATGCCCAATATGCATAGGCACATAAAATAAATTTGAAATCATTAGTTTAGTCATAGAGAGTTCACTTTTTTGCATTATTAAATAATG